TCATTTCATTTCATTTCATTTCATTTCATTTCATTTCATTTCATTTCCAGTATAGTTAACATACAGTGTTATATTACTTTCAGGTGCATAATATAGTGATCTAGCAGTTCTACCCATTACTCTCATCATGACAAATGTGTCCCTAATCCTGTTCACCTGTTTCACTCATCCCCTCACCGGACCTCCCCTCTGGTAACCATCAGTTTGTTCTCTAGTGTTAAGTCCATTTTTGGGTTTGTCTCTTTTTTCCCCTTTGTTTTGTTTCTTAAATTCCACATTTGAATGAAGTCATATGGCATTTGTCTTTCTCTGACTTCTTTTGCTTAACATTACACTTTCTAGATCCATCCATGTTGTTGTAAATGGCAAGATTTCATTCTTCTTTATGGCTGAGTAATATTCCATTGTGTATCATGGGATACCTTCTTTATCCATTCATCCTTTTTATCCATTCATCCAGTGATGGACATTTGGGCTACTTCCATAATTTTGCTATTGTAAATAATGCTGCAATAAACAAAAGGACACATATATCCTTGTGAATTAGTGTTTTTGTATTCTGTGAATAAATAACCAAGAGTATGATGACTGGATCATAGGGTAGTTCTATTTTTAATTGTTTGAGGAACTTCCGTATTGTTTTCCACAGTGGCTACGCCAGTTTGCATTCCCACAACAGAATGCGTTTTAAGGAATTATATTAACATTTTATGAAAATATATCATTGTAAGAAATGTACCAATTGCTGTATGAACTTCACATTGACCTAGCAGTGCTTGCTTTCCTTTCACATTTCTAAAATAATGACATACACATACACACATAGCCCTAATACATAGATTAAGAAAAATAATAGTGTGAGGAAGGGTGGTAGGAGAGAACAAGTGAATAAAGGGAGAGGAAAGAAGAAACCTTTATAAATATTTAAAGATATTTTTCACTGAAATAATTCCGAGAAAAATCAACATTAAATTGGAGCTATCTCATCTCACTTGTTACTTACTGTTCAGGGCTACTAATGTGTAAGTTGGTTTGAAAGAGGTAACTATATCCCATTCACCTAGAGCATTTTTTAGAATGTTCTTTGTTTTTCACTAGTCATAAGATGTTTTTTATTCACCAGAAACTCTAACCACTGTGTTACCTTTCTGGCTTTCTATCTGTTAGTTTTCCATCCAGAGGGCTGTGTTGAGACTTGCTGATCTTTCAGGATAGACTCAACAGATCTGGTTAAAAGAGCACACTGGACTCTTTGGCATCCATTAGACCACTGTTTTCCAAAGTGTGTTCTACAGAACACTGGTGTTCCACGTGATGTTAATGGATTGCCCATTAAAGCAGTGTTTCATAGTTAAGTATCTTTAGGAAATGCTAGGTTAAATAATTTGAAACTTGTTTGCTTATAGTATAATTTCACAGTCTTCAGTATGCTAATGATGCATTAAATATTTTGACCGTTTGGCCCTGATTTTCTTTTTTAACTCCATTACACCCTTTATGTTTGAGGACACCAATGGGGATTGTTCTACCAACTTTTTTTTCTTTTTTTTCTTTTTTTTTGTCCTTTACAGATTTTAATTGTGATCTGTCTCTAGATGCCTCTACATTTATTTTGTAGTATTGTTATAACTATTCCTTTGTAACTATAGCCTCCACTGCCTTATGTTGTGTTTGCCTGGCAAAACCCCAACCCTGGTTCAACTAACTTTATGCCTACCTCATGCTTGTGCCTGAGTGGTTGAATGTGGCTAGAGAAAGGCACGACATGCTCACTGGTCTCACTTCACATTCATGACTGCTAACCTCTGGTGAGCCCTAAGCCTGCCCCACAATCCTACTAAACAGACTCCTGTCTGTTCTTCCATACCACTCAGTTCCACTCCTTTTTCCCTCAGACGTCTCTTAACCTCCATTTCCCACCCTCCCTCTCTGCTGATAGCCTTGTGTCCTGGTCGTTGAAGAAAAAGACAGTCAGGGGAGGCGTCCTCGTGCTCCCACTGTTGTCTGGTGGGTGTATTCCTGATCTCTACCCATCGATAGGACCCTCTCTGTGACGGTGGGTGTGCCTGCCCCTGCCTCAGGGGCCCAGTTTCACACACAGGGTTCCATTTCCTCACTAGGGCATCCCTCTTTGTTGATTATTTCTACCAGTATCCAAACAGGAGAAAGGATTTGGCAGGTTTTTTTGATAACTGGGGGAGCCCTAGCACATAGAACACTACCCTGATCATGGTTGGTCAGCGTGTATTTCTTGAATAAATGAAGTAATACTTCCCATCTTTTAAAAAGAGTTTTATTTTAAAGTAATTTTAAACTTAAAAAATAGTGTAGAGTGTGGTGCCTGGCTGGCTCAGTCGGTAAAGCATGCGATGCTTGATCTCACAGTCATGAGTTTGAGCCCCACGTTGGGGATAGAGTTTACTTTAAAAAAAGTAGTACAGAGAATTTACATATATTCTTCACTCAGCTTCCCCCTGAGTATCTCCCAACTTGAAAAAACAAAAACAAAAAACAAAAGTTTCCTTTTGCTATCTAATGTTACAGGTCTCTGTTTCCTTTTAAAACAGCTACTCCAGTGAATATGTTTTCTGTACCAGCTGGCTCTGTCTGCTGTCCTGCCATTTTCTCTTAAACCCACCCTCTTCCAGCTTTTGCCCTTTCTTATTCCCAGCTCCACCAGAACAGCCCTTGCCAAGAATGTTAATGAACTTCACGTTGCTAAATCCAGTAATCAGTTCTTGTTCTTTGATCTAGCGTGAGCATTTAACTTAGTTGATTTCTTTCTTGTTGCTTTCCTTCTCTTATTTTCTAGTCATTTCTTCTTGGGCTTATTTGCCTCCTACTTCTTCTGTTCTCTCTCTATACTCATTCTCTGGATGGCCTCATCTCTGTTCGTGACCTTAGACATCATCCCAAATGCTGATGCTCCCACAGTTACATCTTTACCTTTGATCTTGTGTTTGAACTCCAGATTTTCATGCTCATTATCTGTTTGGCTTCTTTACCTGTTTGTCAAACATACTGATAAAACAAACAAAAAGCAAAAAACCTCTCCATTCACCATTTGGAATGCCATAGACTGTGTCTCTAGTCCTCCTATCTCAGGAAATGGTCCTACATTCTTCTGATGGCCCCTGCCCCAAACCTTGGGATGTTCCTGACTTCTTCACATCACTCACATTCTGTATCAAATCTACCAGTATATCCTGTTGGTGCTTCCTTGAAAATACAGACCCAAAAACATGATCGCTTCTTATTATCTTCACCACCAGCACTCTGGTTCAGGCCTCCATCATCAACTCTTGCAAAAGCCTCCTCACAGCCTCATCTCGGTTTCCAATGTGGTTAGTTGTCTGCAAAACAGTCACAATAATTACTTTAAAAACATGAATTAGATTATGCCACTCTTCTGCCTAAAACCCCCTACATGATACTGTAGTAAACATCATTTTTCTCTGAATAAAATCCCAAGACCTTACCATGCCTGAAGGCCCTTCCTGATACTATTTCCTGTTCTCTGCTTCCCTCAGTGTGTTCCTGACCCAGCTCTGAGACTCCCACCTCACACACAGCCTTTGTACTTGCGTCCTCTCTGCATGGATTGGCTTTCTAGTGTGCATTTGAGTGGCTCAGTTCTTTCTCCACTTTCTTCAGGTGTCACCTTATTTGAGAGGCTGCTGTGACTGTGCCGTGTAAAGGAGTATCTTTCCATGTTTGCTCTCTGCTTCCTTCTTCCACCTCTTGTCTGCATCGCGTTGTGCCACCAGAGTATTTATTTTGTTAATTTGTTTCCTATCTCTTCCCGGAATACCGCAGACTCCACAAAAGCGGGAACTTCGTATGTGTTTTATGTGCTGCTGTCTCCTCAGTGCCTGTCCCAGTGTCTGGTGCATTATAAGCACTCAGTGTTTGAATGAGTGAGTGAGCAAATGAATGAATGAAATGAGTTGTGTGTACGATGAGGAATACATGGAACAAGTCTGATTAGGAGCAACGAATCAGATGCCAGATAAGGCATAGTGATAAAGAGGTCTTGCAAAAATACATGCCTGACTGAAGGAAAGATGAGAGAGAGGAGAAGAAAGAGGTGAGGAAAGGAAAGGAATACCTCCTCTTAATACCTGGCCGCTGCCATTCTAACAGATGATAGAAGCGTGTTTGTTTTTCAAGGGTGATCGAGCTTCGTGCTTCTTGCACGTTTGCCCTTAGAGATGCTGAAATAACTTTAGCTTGCCTGTGTATATGATTATTTATGTACACATTTATTTGTATTTGAGAATTGATCCTGATCGTTACAGTTTTGTGATTTATATAACCTACAGGTGTGAAGCATCGAGCCCACACATTCATCCAGTCGGGTGGTGTAAAGAACATAGAAGGACACTCATTACTCCTCCAGGTTTGTGTTTATTATGTGTCTAATATTATTCTTCATATGCATCAGGAGTCTGCAAACTTTTTCTGTAAAGGGCCAGATAGTACATAATTTTGGCTTTGTAGGCCACACATCTCTGTCACAACTACTCAATTCCAGTTTTCATGCACAAAGCAGCCCAGACGATAAGAAATGAATGAACATAGTTGCGTTGCAGTAAATCTTTACTTGCAAAGAACAGGCAGCTGGTCAGGTGGTAGTTTGCTGACCCCTGATACACCTGAAAGTATATACATTGGCTTGGTCCACAACAGAGTATCAAAGGTTGTCTTCTTTGGAAAATGAGAAGTTCTTTTTAAAAAGATCTTTATTTCCCAAGTTGTCATTCATTTTTAGACTTTTCATTCATACACATTTAAATATATTATCTGACCACAGAAGTCAGGTGTCTAAAGCTTTAGTGAATGTAGAGAAGTGGACATAGGGGACCGCATTTGTGGGTGGAGCCTTGACCCACATGTCACAGTCAATTGTGACAAAAGTACAATGTTCACATTTAAGTGAGTACTTGAGGCTTTAGATTTTTTTTTTTTTAACCTGGATCAGAACTTACACATTCAGTTTTCCTTTTTCTATTGGAGTGTAGTCTCCAAAACAGATTTTGCACCTTTATGCTGGTAGTACCTCTTGTTCGTTTTCTGCAGTTTCCAGGTACTTCAGCCATCTGCCTCTGGCCCCGCGGCCCCTTCTCAGCTTCGCTGTCTCTGTGATGGAGAACAGTGTACCTGCTGACGAATTGTTTCTTTGTTTTATGTCATGTTGAGTTTATTTTCTTATGCCGAAGAACGGATTCTTTGGCTTCATCATAACCAAGACAGTGAGTTTCCAAGTGTGTCGCTGTTGAAGGTGCCAGGGCTATCATTGGGTGAAAAGACAGGGCCATCAGCTGATACAGAGCATCAACTGCCCTGTTGCTTATGGGTACTCACGTGAGTGATGCAAACTTCCGTCATCACAGGCAAAGGGTAGCCCCTCGGCTGGCTAAGAGCTAATTTGTGGATGTTGCCAGCAGCACAGATGCATCAAAGCCTCAGTTTAGAGCTTCCGATACTTGTCTCATTCCATTCGAATAGCTGATTTCATGGGGAAGCTTGTTTCCAGTTCCGTGGTGCTGTGTCTTTGTGTCTGATCACTTCCTCAGCCAGGAGACCAACCATCCCAGGGATGCCTGAGATGAGTCCCTTCGGCTTTCTGAGTTTTCTCCTAGGTTAAGGAACCAAAGCCCTTGTCCTTCACTGATTTGTAGAGCTGTTTTGAAGATGAAAGAGCTTTAACTTAAACCATAAAGTGTTAGTAAAGCAAGACATTAACAGTTGCCTGGCTCAGACATGGAGCTGCCTGGAAGGTTTTCCTGGACAGCTCTCCTGTGTCCTGTGGCTCACACACTGTTAGCAGTCAGTGAATGTCGATCGCACACTTACCTGGTGTCAGTGTTACCATCGGAGTTGCTGTAAGGATTTCCCAGTTTGGTATTGGTCCATTTTTTTTTTTTCTTCACCACCTTTATGGTCATAATCAGAAGTCTGGTAAATAAACACAGAACCAGTGAGTAACAGTGCTTGGTTATGTCGTCACAGCACTGGCTTAAGTACCGTGGGAATGGGTGGTGTAAGGCATGATTGCTGACTTCCAATGCGAAGCCGATCACCAAGTCCTCTGTCTCCCTCTGTGGACTTTCATATCAGCGGAAGAGAAGAAAAACATAGCTTTTTGACACATTTAAAAAATCTAAATTTCATGTTCAAAAGTGCCAAACACAGCAATATGAGTAAACACCACTGATTGTACACCTAAAAATGGTTAAAATCATATATTTTCTATGCTGTAAATTTTACCACACACACACACACACACACACACACACACGTTTAAAAAGAAACTGTCAAATAACGGTTTGTAAGGCCTATGCTGATATTACCTTGGTGCTATGACAAAAAAGATGCCCTTTGTCCAGTCCCTGTCCCTGAGGGCAGCTTCCTGGCAAGGTCTCTGATGTCCCGTCTGAGAAGGACCCTAGTCACTTGCTGTTCCTAGACAGCAGCTCTTCTGCCCCTCCTGTTAATTCATGGATCAGCCCTGCTGGACTCCCCACATTCATTTTTTTTCCCAAATATGTAGCATTATCTCCTGTTTCCAAAATTAAAGCCTTTATGACTTTTTAAAATGATTTTTATCTTGAATTATCCAATTATGCATTAATACATGCTTGTTTTTAAAAATTTAGAACGTTTGGGACACCTGGGTGGCTCAGTCGGTTAAGCGTCCGACTTCAGCTCAAGTCATGATCTCACAGCTCGTGAGTTCAGGCCCCGTGTCAGGCTCTGTGCTGACAGCTCAGGCTGGAGCCTGCTTCGGATTCTGTATGTGTGTGTCTCTCTCTGCCCCTTTCCCACTTGCACTCTGTCTCTCTCTCTCTCTCAAAAATAAACATTAAAAAAAATTTTTTTTTAAATTTAGACTGAAAATAGAGACAACAGTTGTTCTGTCTCATAATAGTTTGAGTTTGTCCTTGTATCTCTCCAGAAAAATCATTCTGCCTCTGTTTATACACAAACACCCATGCGTGTACAATCAGCTTTAATATTATTTAAACTGGGCAAGATGCATTCCTTAAAAATATGTTGTAAAATATTTGTATTTATAGAAATATATTTGCATACTTTTTAAACTTTTATTTTGTGGGGCGCTTGGGTGGCTCAGTCGGTTAAGTGACTGACTTTGGCTCAGGTCATGATCTCACAGTTTGTGAGTTCGAGCCCTACATTGGGCTCTGTGCTGACAGCTCAGAACCTGGAGCCTGCTTCAGATTCTGTGTTTCCTCCTCTCTCTGCCCCTCCCCCACTCGCGCTCTGTCTGTCTCTCTCAAAAATAAATAAAACATTAAAAAAAAAGTTTTAAGCTTTTACTTTGAAATAATTTCAAATGTAGAGAAAAGTTGAAAGAATAGTATGGAAGTCATCGATACCCTTGACCCAGAGACTCATTCAAGTTCATCAGTTGTATCAGTGATGCCATTTGTAGCAAAAGGATCAGACATTGCACTCGGTTGTCATATCCCTCTACTCTCCTTCAGTTAGGCTCTCCTCGACTTTCATGACGTCAGTGTGTTTGGGAATTTGAGATTAGTCATTTTGTAGAATGCTGCTGAATTTGGGTATGCTTGGCGTTTCCTCATGATTGGATCCAGGTTCTGTATTTGGGCAGGAACATCACAGAAACAGCACCATGTTCTCCCTGCATCCTGAGCGGATGTCAGTTTGTCTCACTATTGATCTTTTACCGTTAATTGACCAAGATAGTCAATTACTTCTTCACTTCTCCGCTAACATGGTTATCTTTTTCTCTGTAAGTACTAAGTATTTTGTGGAGAGATACTTGGAGATTGTGTAAATACCCTGTGCTTCATCCCCATGTCACTCACTAGTTTTAACATCTGTTGATATTTCTCGTATGAATTCTTATTCTGACAGTTGCTAAATGCTAATTTTTTATACCATCATTCCTTGTACATAAGCAGTTGTTATTATTCTGCAAAGAATAGCTTTTTCATCTTCCTCTTTATTCATTGGTTAATTTATTTCCGTCTGCATGGATTCATATATTACTATTTTCATCAAGGGGTTATAAGCCATAACCAGCATTGCTTACTTTCATGTCCCGATTTTCCCAGATTTGGTCCGTGGGAGTCCCTTTAAGTCAGTTACCATGTCCTTTGACATGTTCTTTGAGAACTTCATTCTTTCTGGCACAGCAAGGCTTATCTCGTACTTTCCCTGATTCAAGCTAAAATCTAAACAGTGGATGTGGTGATGGCTACGGGGTGATGCTGCCTCTGTTCTCTCGGAGGATATAGTTAGGAAATACGTTCATGTAAAAAAGTTATATTAATGCATATTTCTGTACCTATTTCGACATTGAAAACCAAGAATTATATCCTTAGCTCCAATTCATATCCAAGACCACAAAGTTTATTCTAGTTTCCTACTTTCTCTATTTTTTCGGTCAGTGAGAAATCTGCCTTCCTTTATCTTCAGTATATTTACAAATTTTTTCAGTCCTTTTTAAGTAGCCAGTTTCCCACCACACTGAGTCACTATTAATTCCTGCTCATGTCTGCCTAATGGATTTTGGAGTCTGGAGGAAACAAAAGGGGGCAGGAGGAAGGAGGGATAGTTCTTTCTGCATATTTTATTTTATGAATAGTGTTCCATGACTTGATTGTGCTTGTTTGACCTAACAGTATGATGACATATCTGGAATATTTCACATATTAGTGTATGTAAGTCTGCTTTATTCTTTTTAATAAATGCTTTCTATTTCATATGTACTATATATATATGTGCACATTTTCTATATTGTTATTAAACTTATTTTTACACTTTTTCATTGACAGCTGTGCATTTGTCTTTGTGTGCATGAGATTTTATATTAGTAGAAGAAGAATTGCACATTAAAGGGCATTTTTGTTAGTGTGTGCATATCTGTATATAGGACTTACCAAGAATATAAATTATACATATACGTATATGTTATATTTTCATTTAGAAGATAGAAGAGGAGTCATGATCAAGATGAAAGTAATTATTACAGTTAGGTCTGAGTGTGTTATTCACTTTAAAGTTATTTGGAACATGAACGTAATTTCCTAGATTATGGTAACAATATCTCATAATTTTATAGGTCAGTTTGTGGTTCTGTCATTCTGGTTAAACCTAACAGGGTTTGCTTTTTTCTTAGGTTATCCAAATGTGAAACATTTTTCTTGGGATAAATACTTAGAAGAAACCAATTCTTTACCTGCCCCTGCAAGAGCTTTCAAAGTGGTGAGTTAATACATTTTGCACTATTTCATTCATTTGTGTTGGCAATAGTGTTCATTCATTGAAATTGCAGAACAGAGACGGTACTACTGAGCCAGAAAGAGGAAGAGGAGGGAAACAGAAGACCACAAAAGATGTTTTTGACATCTTACAATTTTGAAAGTCAAAATTATTACAGAGATTTTTTTGTCGTTGGCCTCATTTTGAACTTGTCTCCATGGAAAATAACTGCTTGAATTGGTGTGGAATGAGTTGTTGTGATCTTACAGCAAACTTCTGTTTTTCCAGCTAGATACTCCGAAAAACCGAAACAAGGCAGGACATTGTTTTCTAATAAAAATTGTGTTTGAGGGGCGCCTGGGTGGTGCAGTCGGTTAAGCGTCCGACTTCAGCCAGGTCACGATCTCGCGGTCCGTGAGTTCGAGCCCTGCGTCGGGTTCTGGGCTGATGGCTCAGAGCCTGGAGCCTGTTTCCGATTCTGTGTCTCCCTCTCTCTCTGCCCCTCCCCCGTTCATGCTCTGTCTCTCTCTGTCCCAAAAATAAATAAATGTTGGGAAAAAAAAATTTTTTTTAAAAAATAAAACTTGTGTTTGAGAATTCCTTTGGATTTGTTTATGGCAAGCTGACATGCTGTTTTTCTTTTTATTGCTATTAATCAGCATGTTTGATTATCAAAATATAAGGCCATTTGCTTTTATTGTAGTATCTTTCTAACCCAGAGTCCTTGCATCTTACATATAACTTGTTAAGATTCAAAGGAAACCTCATTTCTCAGCAAGGGAAGAATAAGTGATGAGAGGCATTTTAAATTTTTTTCGTTTTTCTAACAGCTTGCTTAATTATTTCTATTTTTTCATAAATTTAAAGAAGAATATGTTAAGAATTTTAAGAATGTTTTTAATGTAGCATAGTCTATCATAAGTAACACTTTTTAAAATGATTTATTGTGTATAAATTGCTAGGGTTTCTAATGATAGGATTAATTAGGGATATGGGCCCAAATAATAGGAAAAAAAAGAACATGAAATATTTTTGAGAAAAGAAGTATATTACGTGAAGAAAAGCCATGTAAAAGAATGTGTATGGTCCATCTGAGAGTAAATTTAGGATTTAAAAATGGATAATTAGAGTTCTGCCTTACTTAGGAATTTTTACCTGACTCTCTAACTTTATCTCAAGCTATACAAAGAACCGCATCGCTCTTTGCTTGAACTCGATAAAATCGTGTCAAGATCAGTCTGCATATCTCGTGTCACACTGAGACCTGAGAGAAAACTACGATTTCCTTAGTTTGGCCTTTAGGTGCCTGGCATTGATTGTTTTTTATCCTTTGCGTAATTTTCACACTTAATTCTCCGAGCCACAGTTTTGTTAGAACCACTTCACAGAACAGGGGTGTGAGGCTCAGATGGTTTAAGCAATTTACCCAACATACCCTTGAGCTTGCCTTCGACATCCTGCAACTTTTCCGGAGGTTTACAGGTTTCTGCTGAGTCCTGAGGTGGAGCTAGCTAAGGTGTGGGAGGAGAGGTCTTCCTTTCTCATTCCTGTTCTTACAAGAGTGATTTCATCCCATACGTTTTGATGGCTGATTTTCTTTTTCTAAAGACGTCTCCTGCTTTTTGTTCTCATGGTCATTTCTAGTCTCTGTCACATCTCTGCCACTTTAATGTTCTTTCTTCTGTTTTCATAAATAATTTTTATGCTTGTTGATTTTTGCCAAGATGCCTCCTCCTTTTTTGTAAAAAGAATTTTTTTTTAATGTTTATTTATTTTTGAGAGAGAGAGAGACAGAGCGTGAGCAGGGGAGGGGCAGAGAGAGAGGGAGACACAGAATCCAAAGCAGGCTCCATGCTCTGAGCTGTCAGCACAGAGCCCGTCGCAAGGCTCAAACTCACAAACGGTGAGATCACGACCTGAGCCAAAGTCAGATTTAACCGACTGAGCCACCCAGGCGCCCCACCCCTCAAGACACCTCCTTCTAACTAATGAGAAAAACTTCTTGCCTTCCCTATGCCTAATCAAATATCCACAATATTTTGCATTTTCTCTTAAGGTCTTTTGCTTTCTGTTTCCTCCGGCTGGGTGCTCAGGCTGTTTCTCTTGCTTCAGGGTTTGGCCGTGTGATTTGGGATTGTGTTTTTTTTTGATAAGGACAATGAGGTCCAAAGCTACTGTAGGAACTTGGGAGTTTGAAGGTCGATTCTGTAAATAGCTTATTATTCTGTCTTTGTGACACAGAGCCTACTTTCTCTTCCTCTGAATCTTACCATGTAAAATTTTCTGTATGGCAGAAACCTCCACATGGATTCCAGAAAAAAATGAAGCTTGAAGTCATAGACAAGAGAAATCCTATGTTTATTAGAGTAGCAACAGTTGCAGACACGGATGATCACCGAATAAAAGTGAGTGTTCTCTGTTGTGGTTCTGTTTTGTCTTTTGTTACAAGATAACTTGGATGGAAACTTCGGCAGATACTTAATTTGTGAAGTCCTAGAATTAAATCAGTAAGACTACAGGAATATGAAAATAAAGTGGCTGTACATCTTTGTCAGTATTTATCCAGTGTTTTCCTTTAATCTATGCAAGAAGTTCTCTTTAGTTATGACTGACATTTAATATGTTGTATCTACTTTCTTTTTCCGAGCACACACTCAGAATGTGAAAAGTCATAGGTAAGAAAGGGATTTCTTCTGAATACAGTGCGTCATTCTCCAATACAATGCTCTTTTTTTGAAAACTTGAAGATTAATTTTGATGGGGTTATATTAGATGTAGAATTTTCAGAAGAAAAGTAAAGAAGGATAGCCCTTTCATATAGGACAAGGAAAGAGAAATGATTGTATAAGAAAGTCAGGTTTTAATTAGATTTGGATTAATAAAAGCGAAGTACCTCTCCGAGGGTAAGCGAATGTTCAGGAAGGTGGCTTCGGTCTGTTGTGTCCCAGGTGATGAAGTGAAGTGTAACAGTGGTTCCAGGTGAGGAGCTAGAAGTTATCTCTGGTTCTGGCTTCTGTGTTTCCTTCGCCCTCAAATGAGAGCCCTGTTCATTCCACTTACTTCACTGTGAAAACAGCAAGATGTTAGATCTACATGGTGTCTTGCCGGCCCTTACCAGCTAACAGCGTTCTTCCACTATTCAACATATGTGGTGGTGACAGGGCAGGGGGTTTATGTGACAATCACAATTTTATCTGGGAAGCAGAGGCTCAGGAAGAGTTGATGAATTACTTATTAATTCTGGCAGTGGCAGAACTAAGTCACAGCCCTAAACTCTAGGAGTCGAAATTTATGCTCTTTAAAAAAATAAATATTGTGGCGCTTGGGTGGCTCAGTTGGTTAAGCACCTGACTTCATTCAGGTCATGATCTCGCAGTTCGTAGATTCGAGCCCCACATCGGGTTCAGTGCTGGCAACTCGAAGCCTGGAGCCTGCTTCGGATTCTATGTCTCCCTCTCTGCCCCTCACCCACTTATGCTCTCTCTCTTTCTCTCTCTCAAAAATAAATAAACATTAAAAACTTTAAAAACAAAAAATAAATCACATATTCAACTATCTGTAATAATATATAAAAAATTATAGAAGAACATGGAAAACGTGTATCAATGTGGTTTTGTATAAAACAGAAATTTTAATGTTTAATTAGCTATTTTTAAGATTATATAATCATGCAGTGGTTTGGAAATTATAAACAGTGCAGAGTCTGTTAACCTTTTTCAAGTGTATTTTCCTATTAATTGTCCTTGGTGTGATAGTAGAAGTCATAAAGCAATCAGAGTATTTTAGGACTAGAAGTATTTTTTAGATAACCTAGGCTAGTGATTCAAAGAAATGTAGAACTAAGCAAGATACTATTTTTAAAAATCAAATTGGTCAGAATTGAACAAAAAATAAGTGTTTTGGTTTAGGTGCATGGAAAGTTTATTTTTTTCGTGTATTTTCTTGTATTTTTCATGTATTCTTTTTCATGTGTAGCTGGTAGGAATGGAATGTATCTCGGCCACTAAAGAGCAGTTTGGTGAAGCACAAAAGTCTTGAATCTCAGTCCTAGGAATTTATTTTAGGAGAATTAACCAAAGGGAATATGCAAGGATAAAGACTATAAGGAAAATATAGCAGTTTATAGTATTTAAGATTGCAAACAAGCACAGTAAGATGTAGGTAAAGTAAATTACTCTATATGATGGTAAATATTTAAGAAAAATATTTAATATTGGCAAGTGAAAAAACTCAGGTTGACTATTCTGTATGATGTCTGGTATTGTTTTGTAAAGAATATTATGGAAAGAAACTTAACCAAAATAATGACAGTTCTTCTCTTGGGGTGCTAAGATTATGAGTGATTATAAATGATTTTTTATAATTCTAAATGAATTATAAATGATGAGGTTTTTGGTGTGTTTTTCTTTTTGTTTTGTTTTTTGTTTTTGTTTGTTTTGTTTTTAGTTACCTGGCTTCAGGAACACATATTAATTACTGTAATAGTAAAAAAAAAAAAAAAATTTAGATTAACTCTGATTTTACATGTGAGAACGTTTTTGACCCGGAGAGGTCAAGTACTCTAAAGTGGGTCATTCAGTTAGTTAATAGGAAAAGTGTGGACTAACTTTTTAGTTAGCCAAATTCTCTTTCCAATACAACATCCTCGTTGTTTAACACCCAAAACAGAGCTGGCTATGAGGCGTTGACAATTATCTTTTCACTGTTAGTGGTATAAATTTCATAGCTAAAGGTGAACCACTGAACACGTACCTGTGTGTTTATGAAGTCCTCAAAAGATCAGCGAACAGGTGACGATGACCCAGTTTCAGGATTCATCAGACTTCTGAGACTATAAAAAGCTTTCATTAGTAGGAGTTTTTCTAATGCTGTGGGAGATGACGAAGCAAGAATGCCTGTCTTTATTATTCAGGAGGAGAAAGAGTATATAGAGACTAAGTCCTTAGCGCAGCTTAATATTTTAAGTTTCTCGGGTATAGAATCAACTCTTCAGCTAAATAAGATCAACCTTTTAGGCTACATGATATAATATATTTTATGCCTTAAGTTATTACAGGTAAACATTTTAAAACACTCCTGTATTTCACCAGATGCTGAAAGAAAACAAGCAAAATGTTTTTGCTCTCATCTGTATGTTCTGGGGAGAGTTAGAACATACTACAGGCCCCGTCCCTCCCCACACTCACTTCTGCTTCCTCACAGGCAAGAACTTTCTTTTTTTTTTTTTTTTTTTAGCTGCTGCTTCTGACATTTTATTCCTAATTTTCTGAAATAATATCTGTGTTCTGCTGTTTTCTCAGCCCCATCAATTTTAGGTCCAGTGTATTTCCTTCCTGTTAGGGTAGTTCTGGATTAAGCTCTTACCATATCCGTTCCTTCACTGTATCTTTTCACTAGCGACTTCACATGTTTCTAAAATGTTTTCTCAGTCTTCTGTATTCATCTTCTCATGAGTAAATAAATCCTGTTGGCTGCTGAGCAGAACAGTTTTTTTCTTATGACATTTTTTTTTTTCTGGAGTCAGTAATTTCTTGTTTTGGTTTTTTAAATTTTCTGTGCTCATAGAATCAGACGTTTACAAGTGCTCCAGTAAATCTGATGTGTCTTTCTATCAAAAGCCCAAGTGTATTTTTTTTTAAATGGTTATTTATTTTTGACGGGGGGGAGGGAAGGAGAGAACGAGCAGGGGAGAGGCAGAGAAAGAGAGGGAGAGAGAATCCCAAGCAGTCTCCACACACTGCCAGCACAATGCCCAACCTGGGGCTTGAACCCACACACCTTGAGATCATGACCTGAACCAAAATCAAGAGTCAGATGCTTGACCAACTGAACCACCCGGGCGCCTCCAAGTGTATTTTTAATAAGCCTTCTGTCTGTATCTTTTCTTTCTTGACTCTTTTTCCTACAACTTAGCAGTCGCCTGTGGTCATCTGGGTAGTTCTCTAAGCCTTATCCTGAACTTTCATCCTGAGACTGCTCTTTGCTGGCAGACTATGTTGTGCTCTTTCTTTCTTTCTTTCTTTCTTTCTTTCTTTTCTTTTCTTTTCTTTTCTTTTCTTTTCTTTTCTTTCTTTCTTCCTTTCTTTCTTCCTTTATTTCTGTTTTTTTGAATCACATACTTGTTTTTCTTAGTGTTCTCTTATCATGTTGAAACACATCTTTTTGTAACTTTCTAAGAAAGGGTATATGAAAAGCATCTGCTTTTGGCTCCTTGCACATCTGGAAATATCAATATTACTAGTCTTACATTTGATTCATACTGTGACTAGGTGTAGAATTCTAGGTAGGGAGCCACTTTCCCTCAGAAATTGAAAGCCTTGTTCTGCTGTCTTCTCACATCCATATTGACTGACCTTAGACCTCTAAGGCCATACCAGTTGTTCTGCTCTGGGTGAGTACTCATGCAGAGTACTCGGGCTTTTTACTGTGGAGTTTCATGTCCTCCAGTTTTTGCACATGTTTCTTGTATTACTAGTTGATGACTCCCTGTTGTCATCCTGTGTCTTCTCTTTCTGGAAGTCCTGCAGCTCTGGTTGTTAAACCTTTTGAATTGACCCCTTGATTTTCTTCTACTTTCTTTTTATGCTTCTCTGATTTTTTTATTCTACTTGTTTAGAGAGATATCTACTCTATTTTTCGAAACCTAGGTTGCTTTTTTTAAAAACTTTTTTAATGTTTATTTATCTTTCAGAGAGAGAGAATGTGTGAGCGGAGAGGGGCAGAGAGAGAGGGAGACAGAGGATCCAAAAGGGGCTCTGTGCTAACAACAGAGAGCTGAAGCCGGCCACTTAACTGAGCCACCCAGGCACCCCATGTTTTAAAAAATATTTTTATGTTGCATTTTTAATTACAATTCTGATTTTTTTAATTTTTGAGAGTTTTTTCCTATTTTCTAGCCTCCTCCCCCTTTTTAAATGGCATCATCTTTTTATTTCTTGAAGCAATAGTGTTTCGTATCTGAGGATACTAGTGATGGTTTTTCTTCTGTCCTCTGCTTATTTCCTCCAAATTTCTGCTGTCGTATTGGAGCCTCTCCTCAGATATCAAGTCCTTGACTGACCGTCTGCATTAAGAAAAGGCACTCATAAAGTTAACTGTTTTTCATGGGTGGGACTTACAGCAGACTTCAGCAGACATGACTGTAAGAAAGCAGAAGAGCCAGCTTTTTCACAGGGACGGTCCCATTTGTTGGCATCTGGGTCCTTCTCTGGAGCCTGTCAGTTTCTGCCAGAGTCCTCCCTGGGGAAGAGTGAACCTGGCGGTCGCTGTGCGAGAAAGAGAAGGGCTGGGTGGGAATATACGGCTCTTGGTTGTACAAGTTCCTGTGCTTTCTGTCCAGCCCATTGCCCGTTCAGGTCTGTTGTAGAATTGAGAGCCTTGGGAATTTTTTTCTCTACAAGATAAATGTCTGCTCTTTGCCTGGGTTGTTGAAGGGGCAGTTACCATGGTAGGTGGAGTGGGGGAGCAGCCCGAGGGCGTGTAACTACTCCATATTGACTGTGAGTCAGTACTGCTGTGTTTCAGGACCCTTCTCTCCTGTGTGCTGCCTCCAGAGTGAGTCCTCCTTGGGGTCTGCAGCCAGTGGGCTCCAGGCCTGTTCTACAGACCCCTGGGCTGTGACCCACCCACCCTGTCCTGTAGGTCAACACTCCTCCTGTTTCCGTCCTCCACACACATCACTGTCACTTCTCACCTGTCAGCCGCTTTTCTTCTCCATTGGTCCTTTTGGCTTTATACCTTTTCAAATATAGCTTTAATTTCAGAACAGATTGGAGATAAGCCCCGGGGTCTAAAATGTGTTTTACTGAGTTGCCTTTCACATGCACAGAAAATCCAACCAAATCTTTTTTCTCTTTCCTTTTTTTTTTTTTTTTTTAAGGAATAGTGTGCTTTCTAAAATATTATATGTCTCATTCTTGGTAAGCTGTCAGGAACATGTATTAAGGTTTGATAAAGGGTCCAAATGATGCTTCTGGGTGAAAATGCATCCAATTTCCTAAGCTATAATTTTAAATATGTGTGAGTTAAGTCTTTTTCACTATACTTCGATCCATAATCCTCTTATTTTCTTTAGAATTTTTATTAAATACATCATTATTGCTGAATTGCTTTTATGTATAAGTATATTTAAAGTGGAACATTTGTATTATAAATATTTTGTGTGTCTTTTTGGGGTTTGTAAGATTTTTAAATATTTCATGTTGTATGTTTATCTTCCTTCCTTGCTGTTGTTTATTAGGCATTTGATTTCTTTTCAAAATAGTCCCCAGCAAGAGTAAAACTATCACTTAACATTACTCAAGTGTCTGATTTTTTGTTTGTTTAAAACTTCTTAATATGTCAGTGCCTGAAAAGTAAAAGTTACAAAAGATGAAGTTAAAATTTTTTTTTAGTATTTATTTATTTTTTATTTTTTTTAATGTTTACTTATTTTTGAGAGGGAGAGACAGAGCATGAGTGGGAGAGGGGCAGAGAGAGAGGGAGACACAGAATCTGAAGCAGGCTCCAGGCTCTGAGCTGTCAGTGCAGAGCCTGACGTGGGGCTCGAACCCACGAACCTGGAGATCATGACCTGAGCTGAAGTCAGATGCTCAACAGACCAAGCCACCCAGGCACCCCGAATGTTTGTTTATTTTTGAGAGAGACAGAGACAGAGTGTGAGCGGGGCAGGGGCAGAGAGAAAGGGAAACAGAATCCAGAGCAGGCTCCAGGCTCTGAGCTGTCAGCACAGAGCCTGACACTGGGCTCGAACTCGCAAACTGCGAGATCATGACCTGAGCCGAAGTTGGACGCTTAACCAACTGAGCCACCCAGATGCCCCACGAAAGATGAAGGTTTAAATCAATTATTTCATCTGAGCTTCTACAGTGAGAATTTCGATTAGGATTAATATCAATGTTTGCATATATTAATTTTTACATAATTTCAAATAGCATTTTAAGTGTATTTGGTACTTCTCAGAATTTTATTGTTACCTCTGTTCATAATATCTAAACTAAATTTTATCTCTGAAATTGAACCCTTAAACTATTATAGTTCTCCAGATTGTCTACCAACCTAGATTATAGAAGGTATTAGATTTATCTATAGTATCTAAAGTGTATTAATCCTAGATAGATGACTTCTCATTGCCAAACTGAGATGTCAGTTTTAATGAAAACTAGGAAACATTGTGGCATCATCACCAGATATGATAGATCTACCATAAACATTTTTAAAGGTATGTGTGAGGAAACTTTAAAAATAATCCTTTTATTTATGATGATATCAACAGTTTTAGGGACTATATCGATGTACAATAATGTACTATTTATATACATTGGATGCAGAACCAATTGAACCCCCAGAAAAGTTGGATGCAGAACAGATTGAGCCCCCCAGGTGCCCCAGTAGTATACAATTTGATATCCATGGGTCTCAGTTCTGAGTGCACACCAGAGTTACTTACAAGTTGAGTAAACGACCTCTGTGTGCATAGAACCCAAACCAAAGCTGTGGATTAAAATCTCCTAGGTAAGCTCAGCACTTTTTTTTTCTTTTTCCTTTATTCTTCCTTTTCATCATAGGTAATTCTGAAATGTATCTGGGGTGGAAAACCATTTATTTCTTAGGACTGAGTATGTTTGCTGTAGGAAGATACCTAATTTTTAAAAATTTAGCGGTTTATATACAACAAATGGAACATAGATTATGTGAGCATTGATTCCAATATAAAAGAAATGGAATTTAGGAATAGTAAGATTGGAAAACATGAGAGTTTCACATTTCTAGTAAAATAATCACTTGATTAGCTGAGAATTAGAACATTTAAAACTTACTAAACACTCTAAGTTGTGTCTGCTCGTTTATTGATGGCATTGATAGCATAAATGGATATTTTTACAAAATTATCATGAATGTCATTCTCACTGTTAGTTGAACACTGTTTTTGATCAGGGGAAAGGAAAGGGTTACTTTGAGTTAAGCACTTTTTTTTTTTTATTTTCAAGTGTTTATTTTTGAGAGAGAGAGAGAGAGAGAGTGTGAGCAGGGGAGGGTCAGGGAGACAGGGAGATACAGAATCCGAAGCAGGCTCCAGGCTCCGAGCTGTCAGCACAGAGCCCGACACGGAGCTCGAACCCATGAACCGCGAGATCATGACCTGAGCCAAAGTCTGATGCTTAACCAACTTAGCCACCCCAGCGCCCCTAAGTACTTTTCTGTAAGTGCTGCTTTTATATTCAGTGTATGGGAAGATGATCAATTTTATTTGGGTCCTTGAATTTTAGGTTTGGTTACTCCTCCTAACTAGCTGTGTGAACTCTTCTTCTCTTTAAGATAATACATGTGGTTTCTTCCAGGTGTGGAATTCAGTGGGCTTTGATTCTAGGATTAATTGATTTCTAAGCTTGAGAAAGTGGATTCATTGCAAAGGATGTTATTTAAAAATTTTTTTTTTTTAACGTTTATTTATTTTTGAGACAGAGAGAGACAGAGCATGAACGGGGGAGGGTCAGAGAGAGGGAGACACGGAATCTGAAACAGGCTCCAGGCTCTGAGCGGTCAGCACAGAGCGCGACGCGGGGCTCGAACTCACGGAGTGTGAGATCGTGACCTGAGCCGAAGTCGCCGCTTAACCGACTGAGCCACCCAAGCGCCCCCAAAGGATGTTATTTTAAATACACACACACACACACACACACACACACACACACACACACACACTTTAACAACTCTGTTCTATTCTGTCATACAAACATGCCATAATTTAGTTAGCCAGTCTCCTCATGGTAGATACTCGTTGTTTTCTACTACAATGAGTTGGGTTATTGAGGTTATTAAGTCAAAAGTGATATATTTTAGGTGACTGTTGTTGCAAATAACTCTCTAGAAATACTTGCCAGTTAATACTTCTGTCAGCAGTCCTTGAGAAAGCTTTTTATGCTCATACTCACCAGCTCTGGGAATCACCAAGATGGAACATTTTTGGCAGGTTGAAAGAATTGCATCTTGTGGTTTTAATTTGTAGGGTTTTTTTTAGTTATAAGTGAAATTGATTATCATTTTATGTTTTACTAATCATTTATATTTAGTTTCTTATTTATGAGCAATTTATATCTATTTTTCATCTTTCTATTGGGCTTTTAATCTTCTTATGTTGATATACGATATTTGGATAAATTAAAGAACAGAGTACATTGTGACATATATAATAACTGTGTTTTTCAAGTTTCTCATGGATCTTCCTCCTTTTCTGTGGTAACATTTGCCACTGTGAAGTTTTAAATGTTCATGTAGTCAGGGGCGCCCAGATGGCTCAGTCAGTTAAGTGTCCGACTTCAGCTCAGGTCATGATCTCATGGTTCATGAGTTCAAGCCCCACCTCAGGCTCTGTGCTGACAGCTCAGAGCCTGGAGCCTGCTTTGAATTCTGTGTCTCCCTCTCTCTCTGCCCCTTCCCCACTCACGCTCTGTCTCTCCCTCTCAAAAACAAATAGACATTAAAAAAATTTTTTTTCAATGTTCCTGTAGTCAAATTGAACAGTCTTTTATGAGTTTTGAATTTGGTATCTTGCCTACCATGGTCTCCTACTCTGAGATTACATATACATTCACTCCTGCATTGTTCTGGAACTTTTATTCAGTTTTACACGTTTGTATTTTTTATCTATCTGGCATCTGTTGTCTTGTTAGTAAGGGATTCACAGACTTAAAAAGGTCTAGCTGGCAAATTTGATGTAATAGTGAAATATATATAGCCTTTCAGTATATCCTTTCATCCTAAAAAATAAAATACATGTAATACTTAAAAGACACATAGCTGATCCTTAGTGACCCTGCCTGAAAGACCAATGGCTCTTTCACACGGTGGCTGGTAAAGATGGCTCCGACCACCATATAAAACGTCTTCGAGAGATACTGTAATTATTTGAGAGAAAAAAATGATACTTAGACATGCATTTGATGAAGAGATATTTTATAAACCAGGTGTATTTCTAATAGGACATTGAGTTTGTTTAAACAGACTTAAAAATATATTTTTTTAATGTTTATTCCTTTTTGAGAGAGAGAGAGAGAGAGAGAGAGAGAGAGAGAGAGAGAGAGAGAGAGAGAGAACAAACAGGGTGGGGTGGTGGGTATAGAGAGAGAGGGAGACGCAGAATCCAAAGCAGGCTCCAGGCTCCGTACTGTCAGCACAGAGCCTAATGCCAGCTCGAACTCACAGACCATGAGATCCTGACCAGAGCCAAAGTCAACCACCCAGGCGCCCCTGTTTAAACAGCCTTTTCTTATGTGGATCCTGAGAAACTTAACAGGAACCCATGGGGGAGGGGGAGGAAGGGAAAAAAAAAAAAAAGAGTTTAGAGTGAGAGAGAGCCAAAGCATAAGAGACTCTTAAAAACTGAGAACAAACTGAGGGTTGATGGGGGGTGGGCGGGGGGGTGGGGGGGGTGATGGGTATTGAGGAGGGCACCTTTTGGGATGAGCACTGGGTGTTGTATGGAAACCAATTTGACAATAAACTTCATATATTGAAAAAAATAAAAATAAAAAAAAATAAAGAGCCTTTTTAGCATAATTCTGGGAGAGTTGACATTTAAGTGAAAGGTACTCCTGCCTTTCTCCTCTCCACTCCCATCCTCCCTCCCTTCCTGATTTATTCGTTATTTAAGTAATATTTATTGGCTCTTTGGTGTGGCTCATATGAAGACGTTATGTACTCATAACTCGTGTGTGTGTGTTGGAAGACACACATATCTATAAAAGTACCGCTGGAATGATGTCTTTGGCAAGACATTTATTGATGAACAGATCATTTGAAGATAGGTCGAAAGTCCCTTTTTTGGCATAGGGGAAATGAAGCAATTTAAATAAATTTTTAAAAAATGTTATTTGGTATTGAATCTACATACTTTAGAAGAAAATAAAAATGGTTACATGGTGGCTAGAACTTTAATGGTAGGAATTTTCTATGAATTGTACTGGTAATTTCCTTTTGTTTCCAGGTTCACTTTGACGGCTGGAACAGCTGCTATGATTACTGGGTAGATGCGGATTGCCCTGATATTCACCCTGTGGGCTGGTGTTCAAAAACCGGGCATCCTCTTCAGCCTCCTTTGAGTAAGAGACGCAAGGATAACTTAAATTGAATGTTTCCATTTTCTTATGTAGGGTGCTTAATATTTTCTTTGCTCCTATCATTTTCTTTCTACTGTTTTCTCTCCTGTACGTTTGTTCTCCATGAATCCTGTTCTTCTTCCCACATTTTCCATTATGTGGTAGTCACAAAAACATAAAAGAAAAAAAAATAATGTGTGAAAAGCACAGTTTATGTAGATTTTTAAACTTTTATTTAGAAGGACTCATCACCTTTCAAAATTGGTACTGAATTTTTGGAAGACAGTTCTCTTAGGCTATTAAAGTCTAATGTATCAGTAGTGAGTGGCTTTATACTGTAGTTTTGCAAAATGTTACCATTGGGAGAAACTGGACAGAGTGTAAAAGGGCTCTCCCTATCTATTGTTGCTTAAAACTGCATGTGATTTACAGTAACCTCATTGCAGAGTCCCTTTAAGTTCAATTTTTTTTTTTTAATGTGCACTGGGAATTTGACATACTATGATTTCAACTTTGAAGGAAAGCATATACATTGTAGCAGAAAATATGTAGAAATTACAGTAGATTATCGTGGGGTTTTTAAAAGTTTAGTGTGCAGTCCCCTGTTTTAGTGGCTTCACTTGTTTCCAGGTTCATGTACAAGCTGCATAAAAGTAAAGAAATCCACATGCATGCTGTTTGTTGCAGTATATTTAAAATAACAAACCTTGGAAACAAAGATTAGTTAAATTCTGGTGCACTCATGATACAGACACTGTGCAACAATCATAAAGAATATTATCATTGAGATGGAAAGATTTTTAAGACATGAAGTTAAAGACCAAAGAAAAAAATGTTTCAGAATAGTGCACATTGGTGCTATCCCTTGTATGCGACAAAATGATACAAGACCAAAGACTTGATACATGTGTATATATATATTCATAGAGGTATATATGGGAATGCTTAGAACAGAGTCTAGCACATTACACAGGGACATAAGTGGTCAGCATAAGGGAGCATTATAAAACACGGAGGGGGTAGCATGTTTGAAATTTTCAGTGTACAAGTATTCGTAAACTAATTATGTTATTTACTTGAAGATCGTTTAGCATCTCCTCATTAATTCACAATTAGGTATTTCTGGAATTTATAGCCTTGATAGAGGGTTAGATCAAAGTGTACCATTTCGCTGTTGAAGAAAGATCAATAGTGTGAACAAAAGCATAGGGAAAAATCTTTAAAGACTTTTAAGATATTTGTAATTTTTGTTTCACAGCCTTTGGTTAACTTTATGCCCCTTCCTTTCTCTTCTCGCTTTTTCTTCCCCTTGCTTTCTTATAGGCTCCTTAGAATTAATGGAAGCTTCAGAACATGGCGGATGTTCAACCCCAGGATGTAAAGGGATTGGTCATTTTAAGAGAGTGAGACACCTGGGCCCTCACAGGTATGTGGTGCTGCCACTGAAGTGGGAATTCCTTACGTGGCCAGATAGAGAGTGCCTGTCCCACCTGTGTATAAGATCGTGGTTTCCATGATGCTAAATACATGTGAGGTAGTTTTCTATTAAAAAAAAAAAATGTGGTTACCATGGTGATCCTGGAAAAACGAGGAGTATGTCTTTAGTTAAGTGTTTCTGGGAGAAAATGCATTCACAGTTTAAAATAGGTTCGCTCTAGCTATTTGCCTTTTCTTGATAGCCAGACTAGTTGTATAGATACTTACCTTCTGAAAGAGTCACTCTGGGTTGACCGTTAATAATGAGAAGAGGGCAGGCCCTGTTTGGTAAAATCTGGTATGATTGGGGGACGCAACAGTTTGAATAATGAGGGTTGAGATTATCACAGATTATCAGCACAGATCACAAGAAGCACAGATATGAGTAGTCAAACTATGCACTGATTCAAAACAATATTTTTCACTATTTTTCTCTGACCCCCTCAGGAACTTCAAAAAGAAACCAAATTTATACATTAGAAATTTGATGTACTGTTTAGGCAATGTGGGGGTCCTTGCAGACATTTTAAAATATATTACTGAACACTGAGGTTTTCAAGGAACAAAAGCATCACCTGTTTAGAGATGTGTTAAAATAATCCTTTGTCAGTGTAAATGTTCTAACTGCAAGTTAATTGGATTGCCTAGTGAAGAAGGGGATCCCTTGTTTATCTAGTTTGTGCCCATTGTGAATCCAGGTCTTTTGAAAAATCTGAAGATTGTGCTGCCTGTGCCTCCAGGAGTTCATAGGAATTGTAAAATGGGTGTAATTATTTTCTCCTCTTTCTTTATTTCATCTCTGCATCCTCAAATATTGCTTATCTTCCTTCTGCAACACTCCTTGTGGGGTTTATATGGGATTCAGTCTGTTCCAGAGTAAATAGTGTGAACATAGGGTGCTGATTACATTTGCAGATATCCATTTAAAAATCCCTTCCAGGGGGCGCCTGGGTGGCGCAGTCGGTTAAGCGTCCGACTTCAGCCAGGTCACGATCTCGCGGTCCTGGAGCCTGTTTCCGATTCTGTGTCTCCCTCTCTCTCTGCCCCTCCCCCGTTCATGCTCTGTCTCTCTCTGTCCCAAAAATAAATAAAAACGTTGAAAGGAAAAAAAAAATTAAAAAAAAAATCAAAAAAAAAATCCCTTTCAGTGTTTGTATAACTGCAAACCTGGAGTTACATGATTAGTTGGAAGAGTGTTAAAAATGTCGTGTCTTAAAAGTTTGTTCAGTATTGCTGAGTGAAGGTGGCTGGATTATTTTCAGACATGTTTTAAGTCTACATGCCAGAAATAACTCATTAGCATGCTAAATTTCCATTATATACTAATAAATTATTTCCTGCAGTAAATACTTTTGAGTTTTTTTCAATAATAACTCATGTTTATTGAGCATGTATTTACTCCACACGGCATATTGCTCTAATTGTTTTATAAGTATGAATAACCTTCAAAAAACCCCTATTAGTTTTAGTATTATTTTCTTCTGATTTTTTTTTATGTTCATTTATTTGTTTTGAGAGAGAGAGAGTGCTTGTGTGTGCAGTGGAGAGGGGCAGAGAGAGGGAGGGAGAGGGAGAATCTCAAGTAGGCTCTGCGCCCACAGCACAGAGCTTGATGTGAAGCTAGAGCTCACAACTGCGAGATCATGACCTGAGCCGAGATGAAGAAGTCATACAGAGAAAGACAGATACCGTATGTTTTCACTCTTGTGTGTATCCTGAGAAACTTAACAGAAAACCATGGGGGAGGGGAAGGAAAAAAAAAGTTAGAGAGGGAGAGAGCCAAACCATAAGAGACTCTTAAAACTGAGAATATGGGGCACCTGGGTGGCTCAGTCGGTTAAGCGTCCGACTTCAGCTCAGGTCATGATCTTGCGGTTTGTGGGTTCAAGCCCCGCGTCGGGTTCTGTGCTGACAGCTCAGAGCCTGGAGCCTGCTTCAGATTCTGTGTCTCCCTTTCTCTCTGCCCCTCCCCCACTCACACTCTGTCTCTCTCTCGAAAAAAAATAAATAAACATTAAAATTAAAAAAACAAAACAAAGCTGAGAACAATCTGAGGGTTGTTGGGGAGTGGGAGGGAGGAGAGGGTGGGTGATGGGCATTGAGGAGGGCACCTGTTGGGATGAGCACTGGGTGTTGTATGGAAACCAACTTGAAAATAAATTTCATATAAAAAAAAAAAAAGTCGGATGCTGAACTGACTGAGCCACCCAGGGGTGCCTTTTCCAAATTTCGATGAGGCCACTGTGGCACTGGAGAGACAGCTGGTGTGAGGGGAACAGGGAATAGCACCCAGTCTATCTGTGCTGTTGACCACTGCCCTCTGGCTGTCTCACAAGGAACTGCTCCATGAATTAGTTATAGACCCAACATTCAAAGAACTCCAGGACTAATGGAAATATGAAAGCTACACAGAATTTAATTTAAACATAAGATACAAAGCAGTAACTAATATTGGACCTTTGTCAAATGTACCTTTCTACTGCACAACCCCAAGATGTTCATTGGAGTGAAGGTAGTTTGCTTAAATTATGAAGGAAAAGAATAAAGAAGTCTTAAAATTGCATGAAAATTGAGATCACGCTATTGGGGTTCAGTTGAAAATTACAAAAAGAATTGTTTTGGCCTTCTGGGAAGGAAACCCACCGTGCAGCAATGTCCATCATCTCTTTAGTAGTGCTTTAGGTCTGAGCAGAGAGGTTTGCTGTCACGGCAGGGTCTTTGGTGACAATCCTGTCCCCTGCCTGATGGACTGGCGCTCATTATGGCCACCTTTTCCCAACTGTGCCACTGACCTCTGGGGGTTCCTCAGCTGGGCCACAGCCATTTCACAAAGTTTAAGTGATTATGTTTGGAGCATTTCTTCAGAGATATGCAGTATTGTATTTGTTAAAAGAAGGGGGAAATTACAAGGAGAATCATGGAAGATTTTTATGGAGAAATGTGGTAATGAAACCTTTCAGCGGGGGCACCTGGGTGGCTCAGTCAGTTAAGCATTCAACTCTTGATATCAATTCCGGTCATGACCTCATAGTTGTGAGATATAGCCCCACATCGGGCTCTGCACTGAGTGAGGAGCCTGTTTGGGATTCTCTCTCTCCCTCTCTCTGCCCCTCCCCAACTTGCACTCTGTCTCAAAAGAAAACAATCAACATTAAAGAAAAAGAAACCATTCAGTGGAATTGGAACCAGTCCTTCTTCCACTCAAAGAAGAAGTCATGGCTTCAAAGACATGTGTTGATAAAGAAGCAGCATTTGTTTCTGTGCCATACGGAGGGCGCAACTAGCAGTTCTGTGGGTGAGTCCAGGCCAGAGTTATTGGTTGACAAGAGCCTCGGGATGCCGTTCAAAGCACCCAACAACCATTGTCAGGTCCTGCTGCATCGTCTCTTCCATTTTTCTTGGCCCTTTCAGCTGGCTCTCCTGAGTCTCCCTGGCTGTGCTGTCCGGTTTACAACACTCAGAGCTCTGTATGTGGAAGGATATTAATCCTTCACAGGCACAGCTGGTTTTCCATTTCATTAGTAGACTGTGGAAGAGCTGCAACATCATGGATATTCTTTGAAAGGTTCATTTCACTGGCACTTATTTTTGTCCTTGCTGAGAATGCTGTGTTTAGGAAAACATAATGAGAAAATTCTCTTTGGATTAATTTACTGAGAAACTACATAAATCAAAACATGCATTCTTTGCTTAGATAACAAGGAAAGTTGCTCTTTTAGCAAGAATAATCCATTTTATCAACACGTAAGCAAAAGGCTATGTTTTGACTAGCAGTTGTTGTTTGCCTCTCTGAAAAATTATAATAGTTGAATTTGACGTAAGAGGTGTTAGAAATAGAACATGTGTCTCGGCAGTGAAATTTGAGAGTGTTATGTTTTCAGATGTTGAAATGTAAATAATCAGTGAGTGAGTTGAATGTGGACATTATTCTTATCCCCAGGGATATTCAGTAGTCAGATTGCTTACTCCTGTCTCTAGCAAGGGAGCATCAATCTGGGTTTTATCATGGTGTTTCCCTTTGGTGATTCATTCATTTGGGCTACTGAAAGGTCAAAGAATGGGAAGTGATGAAAAGAGAACTAACATTGGGGCGCCTGGGTGGCGCAGTCGGTTAAGCGTCCGACTTCAGCCAGGTCACGATCTCGCAGTCCGTGAGTTCGAGCCCCGCGTCGGGCTCTGGGCTGATGGCTCGGAGCCTGGAGCCTGTTTCCGATTCTGTGTCTCCCTCTCTCTCTGCCCCTCCCCCATTCATGCTCTGTCTCTCTCTGTCCCAAAAATAAATAAACGTTGAAAAAAAAAAATTAAAAAAAAAAAAGAAAAGAGAACTAACATTATATGAAAGTAGATATTCTGCATATCTAGTGCCTTCAGAAGTAAATCTTTTCTACATAAGATTTGATCTTGGAGAAAATAAACAAGAAAAAAAAATGGAGAGTATTTCCAACAGCTTCTAAAAGGTACTGGTAAAGTCCATGGAAAGTTTTAAAAGTTAGTACCTTTGGACACACACCTGCACACTCTAAACAGCATATTATTTCAGCATCCATCCATCCATGCATCGAACATACACTTACTGAGTGCCTGCTTCGTGTCAGTGCTCAGTTAGGTGACGGGCTGCACAGAGGGAGGGTCCCTACCTCTAAGGAGGCCAGTCTGGCGTAAACAGATTTTTGGAGAGGTGTGACTGGAGTAGCACCCTTTTCCTGTAGGAAGCGGAGAGGCTTCACAAATGAGTCGTGTTACAGAGCTCTTAATGTTGTGGTTTATTTTTACTGATGCACGTTTACCTTGTAGGGGTTAAGTGTTACTCCTCTTCTCCTTTTTGAGTAATCGTAACAGGTGAGGTTCATTGAGGACTTCCTGTGTTCCAGGCTGCGTGCCACACTTACCTGTGTGATCTCACTAAATCCTCACAGCAGCTCTGTGAAGCAGGTACTGTTGTCATCTCTG